AGACAGAAGAAGAACCAGAACCATCTATTTGTCAGAATGTTATTGTTCTCTAGCCTGCAGTGGGGTACTCTATAGCGAGTACAACCCCTAAGGGTTTCCTATATGTATCCTGATGCTTTCTAGTGAACACCCCTCTCTCTTCTTCATTCTCATTCTAGTTTTCTCATGGTATCGAGCAGGTTCCCTCGTGGGAACTGTTCTAGGGCCCACCGATTCGATTTTTTTTTTTTCCTGCCCGTAGCGCGCTCAGCCCTTGCCCGAGTCGCGCTCCCCTCTCTCGACCCTGTCGCGCCGCCTTAGCGGCCCCTTAGCGTCGCCCTCGCGGCCCCCATCCCGTCGCGCCGCCCTAGCGGCTGCGTCGCGCCGCCCTTGCGGCCCCGATCCGCCGCCCTAGCGACCCCGTCGCCTACCCCTGCGACCCTGGCGCCGCCCTTCCCGGCCCCGATCCGCCGCCCTAGCGGCCTCGTCGCCTACCCCGCGGCCCCGGCACTGCCCTTCCCGGCCCCGATCCGCTGCCCTGCGACCCCGTCGCCTACCCCGCGGCCCCGGCGCCGCCCTTCCCGGCCCCGATCCGCCGCCCTGCGGCCCCGTCGCCTACCCCGCGGCCCCGGCGCCGCCCTTCCCGGCCCTGACGCCGCCCTTACCGACCCGGCCCCGCCTCTGCTGGCCTCGTCGCCTACCTGCGGCCCCGGCGCTGCCCTTCCCGGCCCCGTCGCCTACCTTTGCGGCCCCGGCGCCGCCTCTGCTGGCCCCGCCGCCGTCCCCACGCGGCCCCGCCGTCACCACCGAGCCGCCGGCGCCGCCGCCTGCTGCCGAGTCGCCCACCACGCCGAGCCGCCCGAGCCGCCCGACCTACCGAGCCGCCCGAGCTGCCTGACCTGCTGAGCCGCCCGAGCCGCCCGAGCCGCCCGAGCCGCCGAGTCGACCGAGCCGCCGAGCCGCCTGTGCCGCCGAGTCGCCGAGCCGCAGTTGTTGCCAAGCCGCCCGAGCCGCCCTGTCTGGTAAGAGCAGCGCCTCTATCACTGCACTACCCTTACCCTACTATTCGCGCTACTAGTCTATTGCTGTCATGGCTACCCCTAGTGTCCTCGCTTTTGACGCTGAGGGTCGGGCTATTGACTTTGACGTCTGGCTAGATGACCTGCAGCTTTTCCTACAGTGCGATAGGGCAGACGGTCTCTCCCTCTTTGACCTTACCTCTAGCGCCTCTCCTGCCCAGAACCATCTATTGTCCCTCTTGGTCGCCCTCCAAGCCGTTCCGCAGCTGCGCTTCCTCTGCCTGACATCCAGCCAAAGCGCGACCCCTGGGACACTATCGACTGGGGGAACGAACCCTCAACTCTACGATGCACTGCTTTCGGGCCTGCGCCCGAGCCGCACGAACCAACATTTGTTCTTGGGACCATCTTCCCCTACTCCATTATTCGCGACAAATAATTCCTTGCGCTGATGCTGATTACGACAAACGACGTAGAGGAACAAGAAGAGGCAGCAGCGGAACCTGCCCGAGTACCTGATGTGGGTCACTGCGGAATCAACGACGAGTTGTATACGCTCACCTTCGTCGATGCCGGAATGCGTTACGTGTGGGTGTGAACGTGGAGGCACGCAGCAGAGCATACGAGGTGTTTCGCTTCTGGCTGGCGCACGCGCAGCGGCAATCTGGGGAGAAGCTGAAGATCTGGCTATCTGATGGCGCAACAAAATTTAGGAGCAAGGAGCTTCAGGATTACCTGGCGCAAAAGGGGGTCGAGCATCGCATTTCTCTCCCCTATGCGCATCAGTAGCAAGGCGTAGCCGAGCGCACCAATCGCACACTGATGACGAAGGTGCGGGCGCTGATGAAGCAGTCGAAGCTTCTGCCGATTTACTGGACCTACGCGATGCACCATGCCGTGCGGGTGCACAATCTGCTGTCAACTATCGCCATCACCGGGAACCTGTCCCCACACGTGAAGTGGACCGGGACCAAGGGCGACACATCCATGCTCCACATATGGCGGTGCATGGTGCAGTACCGCCTGCCTACATCAACTATTGGGAAGTTCGCAAGTCGCGCGCTGTGGGGCATCCACCTCCGCATCAGCCACGAGCACAGCTACGCCACGCCTGAGGACGAAGCTGCGGCAACCATTATGGAGCAGGACCCTAGAGGCGAGTTCACAAGAGGCGATCGTTGCAGCAGCGATGACGACAATGACGATGACGATTCCTTCGAAGGAGGAGCAGGCTCAGCTGGCGGATGCGACAGAGGCGCAGCACCGCCAGCACAGCCTGAACCAGAAAGCGACGATGACGACGTACAGGAAGTCACCTCGTAGCACCGTCACGACAGCACTGCGACTAGACTTCAGCTTCTCGGGCTCCAGAACGCTACCTCAACAGTGCCACGTGTCGTCGAACTAAAGAATTCGCGCCAAGCCCTTTCGGTACCGCACAACAAGGAGTAGCGCAAGGCGATGGATGCAGAGATTAAGGCACTTCCGCGACACATGGGTGCTCGTCGATCGAGCAGCAGTCAAAGGAAGGAGGATTCTCTCCAGCATATGGGTCTTCCGTGTGAAGACCGCATCTGACGGCAAAATTGAGCGATTCAAGGCATGCTGGGTCGTATGAGGCTACGACCAGAGGCACGGTATCGACTTCGACCAAACATCTGCAACGGTCAGCCGTCATACCTCCGTCGGAATACTCTTCACCATCGCTGCCGCACGACATCTGCCGCTCAGACAAATCGACGTGAAGAACGCGTTCCTGTACGCGTTAGTAGATGTAGTGATCTACGTGGAGCAGCCACACACATACGGCAACGGGGATTCGCGCGTTTGCCAGCTGCAAAAATCACTTTACGGGATCAAACAGGCGCCATGGCTCTGGCAGCAGTACCTGCACAAGCAGATGCCTCACGATCCAGGGATGTATCGTCGCGATTTCCGCGGTGAATACATCATGCTCACGGTCTACGTTGACGACCTCCTCTACGCAGGGTCAAGCAACGAATTGCTTGAGCAGTTCGAGAAGAACCTCGCTGGACGCGTCGGCATCACCTGCAACCACGACGTGAAGCAGTTCCTTGGCCTGAACATCAGCTATTCACCAGAAGGCATTCATCTCTCAGCAGCCAAGTATGCAGAAGAACTTGGCAAGCGCTTCAACATCGCACCTGCACCGCTCTCCACCCCTTACCGCACTCCAGGACCCAACCACAAGCCTGACAACAAAGCCATGTCCCCCGCTGGGCTTCAGACTTACCAGCAGCATCTGGGTTGCCTGCTCTTCGCCTCTGTTACTTGTAGGCCAGACCTCTCGTACATCGCAAGTCAGCTGGCCCAGTACTCCCGCAAACCAACGGCTGAAAATCTCTCAGATCTTCAGCGAGCGCTTCGATTTTTCATTTCCACGCCCAATGTTGGGCTCTGCTACTCCACCATCCCAACCGCATCCTTCAACCTCATCGGATACGTGGACGCTGATCATGTTGCCGATCCCGACAATTGACGGTCCAGGACAGGCTTTCTCTTTCGCCTTGAGCCCAGCGGCCCCATCTCCTGGAATTCGCAGAAGCAGGAGCTGGTTGCCCTGTGATCGGCAAAAGCAGTGTTCATTGCAGCAACGGCAGCCGTTCGTAAAGGTCTTTACCTTCAAGAGCTGCTGCAGGAGGTGAAAATTCCAGCTTCGCCGAGCTTCCGTCTGCACTGGGATAACCAGAGTGCGATCAGGATCGTGAACAAACCTAGATTCGTCAACCACACCAAGCACATCGCACCACGGTACTTCTTCGTCAAGGACGAAGTTGACAAGGGCAAGGTTGACCTGACCTACTGCCCACGGGTGACACGGCAGCCGATTTCCTCATGAAGAAACTGCAGCGTCAGCAGTATCAGCACTGCTCTAAACTCAGCGGGGTAGTCAAGCGGGTCAAGACGTGCTACGGCCAGGAGTGAAGGGGGGTGTTACGAATAGTGGAAAATGAATGAACCATTGTGCACTCCTTACCGCAACAACCGAAGTACGCACTACCGAGGTTGAAGACGAAAAGGCGGAAGTAACACGAAGAGACGTACAGTTACAAAACGATCTGGACCGTCGGGCAGACAGCATCAGGCAGCAGCAATGGCGAGGATTCTACCCGAACAGTTTCGTAACTGTCTTGAGTCGCACGGTTGGATTTCGCTGTAATAGGGGAATGTACCCCTTAGAGTACATGGCTAGCTAGGGCGTTTCGAATTCCCCTGAACTTATATCTATATTCCATGTATTTGCATGTTTTAATCATATCAAGCATTTAACATTCACTCTGCTATTGAGGTCAATAGCCCGCCACTACTACTCAGTCTTATGCGAACCTTCCTGAGGTGATCCTAGGGACGATCAAGCTTTGATCGCAACAATTGGAAGAACGGTTTTGATGATTTAGTTTTGACCCTGTTCCCACTCCAAGATAATCTCCCAAGGTTTCAGTCGATCTAAAGTCTCCCAAACTTGTGATATGTAATCACATAAGTATTGACCTAGTAAGGTATTAGTTCAGTCATACAGTACTTTGCAGCTTATAACAGCAGTGAAATTTTGCCGAACTAATGGCATGAGCTGAATGACCGTGGCGTGGAACGTGGGGCGGGACTGATCTGGTCTGGTCTGGTGACGACTATCACTCTTGCCTAGGACATCCTCGCTTCATCGGTACCTTCGCGAAGGTCGCTCTGTGCTAAAAGATAGGACGCGGTAACCGTGCTGGAACTTTATACTAAGACCAGATGCGGGCAGATTTGCAAGTTCTTGGCCTCAGCACCTGGAGCGTCCCACCTTCAACCTTTCTCGTTCCCATTCCCGCGCCGTTGCCCTCCCAGCGACATCCGCCATTGGTCGGATATTCTTCCACAGAGTCGGCGTTCCGCTCTCGTGCTCCTCCTAGCCCTCGTATTCCAGAAATTTTCAATCACCAGAAACGTTCTGCTAGACGCGGGGGGAATCGCGGAGAGACGCGTGCTCTCGCCGCAATGCAACAGCAGCAGCAGTCAGTGGGCGGAGAGGTCGAAGGAGAGCGGGTAGCAGCGGGATCGGGGAGAGACGGCGCAGAGGAAGGGGGTGAGTTCCCCGCGGAACTTGCGCGGAGGCTCCGCGACTTGCATCAGGAGCATATCGAGGCGCAATGGCGGGAGCTGAATAGCGCGGAGGAGCGCGCGCGCCTGGTGCAGGCTGTGGAGGTGAGGCGAGTGGGCTGACGCTGACGGACATGGACTGACGCTGACGGTCGTGGACTGACGTTGACGGACCTGGATGAGTGAGACAAAGCAATTCCGTTGTCGTTCCCTTTTTCGAATCCCATGTCATCCTCTGGTTTCATGATTCCATCCTGCATCCCATGTTTCCATGCTTGTGTGTGTGTGTGTGCATGGCAAGCAGGCAGTGGACTAAGAGAGTGAGGATCGTGTGCTGTAGTTCTCATCTCACACCACCCGAATCCGCAAGCCCTTGCCGTGTTCACCGCTTGCTTCCAATCCAATCTCCTGCCGCTTACCCGACGTTCCATTGGCTGTGTGTGTTGTGTGCGCACGCACGGCGGCAGGCAGTGGACGTGGAGAGAGCAGTGCGTGTGTTCGAGGCGTCAACCCACTCCTCACACAATGGTGCGCGGGATAATGGGAGGGAAGCAGGGGAGAGGAGAGGAGAGAGGTCCCTTGCGTGAGAACGTGCGGGGTGAGACGGGACGAGGGGACGAGGGATGGCGGGGAAAAAGACAACTGGTTTGGGATGGTTTGGGAGGGAGTGCTCCATGGGACGTGTTAAGTGAAGTGAAGCACAGGACGAAGCATGGAAGGTCAGGCACAGAGTCGCAGGTCAGATACAAAGTCTCATGGGTGCGTGCTGCACTTGCACATGGATGTGGTGTGACACCAACTCTCGAGACGAGAATTCTCAAAAGTGACTCACGCCAGAGAATCGTCAGTAGAGCTGGAGCACCCTGCTGAGCAAAACCATTCTTCTTCCTTCCACCCTGCCTCACTCTCACCTCTTCCGTCCCCTCCCAACCCAGCCCAACCCATCCTCAGCCCTTTTCAACCCTTTCTCCACCTCGCTCCACCTCTCTCCCTGCACTGCGCTGTTGCCCATCAGCGCCTTCGGCGCCCCTGCAGGTGCAGCCAGTGCGGAACGTGTGTGCACTGGAGGGGCGATCGGGTGCAAGCGCGCAGCAGTGGAGGGAGCAGGGCCTGGCAGCCATCGCCCAGGGCCGACTCGCCGTGCTGCTGCTGGCCGGCGGACAGGTGGGGGGGAGAGTGAAGGGGGAATATGGTGATACGACTGGGGACGATTGGTGGGGGAAGGAGGGATCAGCGAAGTGGGGTTGAGGGGGGAAGTGTGTACATGAGTGGAGGGGGAGGCAGTGGGAAGGTTGATTCAAGTGGAGAATCTTGGCATGTGATACATTAATGGTTCATGTGATTTCATATGACGCCCCATGCGATTTTATTCCTTTTTCTGCCATGCTGTTACGATGCTGTTTCCTGTACCGGCACCTGCCATTTTCTTCCCAAATCCGTCCGTCACTTGCTGAACCGTGACCGGACATGCTCTGCCATGCCCTTTTCCTCCCAGGGAACAAGACTGGGAAGCTCCGCACCAAAGGGCTGCTATGGTGAGTCCTTTCCTTTCCCTTCTCTTTCTCGAACGGTCCTTTCCCTTCTCTTTCTTCTCTCCCTCTCCCCCGTTTCCCCCGCTCTTCCTCTCTCTTTCTCTATGCCATTTGTCTGCCCAGGGTTGGTCCCTTTGCTGTCCCTCCGTCTTTCCCTCAGCTGCTTCCTCACCCAGTCTCGATTACCGAGAAAGGTGACGGGTGGGAGGAGCGGGGTTATGCATGTGCTTGCTCTGTCCTGCCAATCCCCACTCCACTTCCCCCTCCTACTGTCTATAGCTCCCCCTCCTCCTCCCCTGCTCTTCCTCCCCTCTCCTCCCCTCACCTTCCCACTCCCCCCGCTCCTCTCTACTCCTGCTCATTCCCCCCTCCACTACCCCCCATCCCCCCCCGCGCTCCTCCATTACCCCCCTTTCCCTCCCCCGGGCGAGCAGACATTGGCCTGCCGTCGCACAAGTCGCTGTTCCAGCTCATGGCAGAGCGCCTGCTGCGCATGCAGATGCTCGCTGTGGACGCTGCAGGTGTGGTTGCAGGTGGGGGTGGGGGTGGGGGTCAGGGGGGTTGCAGTTGGGGTGAGGTTGGGAGTCAGGGGGGTTGCAGTTGGGGTGAGGTTGGGAGTCAGGGGTTTTGCAGGTGGGGTGAGGTTGGGAGTCAGGGGGTTTGCAGTTGGGGTGAGGTTGGGAGTCAGGGGGGTTGCAGTTGGGGTGAGGTTGGGAGTCAGGGGGGTTGCAGGTGGGGTGAGGTTGGGAGTCAGGGGGGTTGCAGTTGGGGTGAGGTTGGGAGTCAGGGGGGTTGCAGTTGGGGTGAGGTTGGGAGTCAGGGGGGTTGCAGTTGGGGTGAGGTTGGGAGTCAGGGGGGTTGCAGTTGGGGTGAGGTTGGGAGTCAGGGGGGTTGCAGTTGGGGTGAGGTTGGGAGTCAGGGGGGTTGCAGGTGGGGTGAGGTTGGTGGTGATGATGGCTCTAGTGTCGCTGTTCCAGCTCATGGCAGAGCGCCTGCTGCGCATGCAGATGCTTGCCGTGCAGGCTGCAGGTGCGCGTGGAGATGTTGTGGAGGGTGGGTAAGGATGGGGGTGGGAGCGGGGTTGAGGTGAAGTTGAGTTTGAGTGAGGGTTCTGTGCATGGGAATTTTAGGGAATGGATGGGAATGGATAGGAATGTCAACGGTTTCCTCTTCGCTTCATCATCTCTGCCTCGATGGCCAACCACATCTTACCCATTTATACCCTTTTCGCCCTTTTTTTAAGCTCGTCTTTAATATTTTTCAACAACGACCTGCCCGCTCCCTGTCTCCCACGCTCGTTCTTTCAGCTGACATACTGCTTCTGTCTCACCCACCCACCCACCCACCCACCCACCCACCCACTCATTCCCACCCACCCACGCAATCCCCCTTATCTACGCGCCTCATCGCAGGTACATCTGTCTCATCGTCCGCGGCCGTGCACATCCCATGGCTCATCATGACGTCGCCATTCACCCACCAGCCCATCCTCGACTTCTTCTCCCTCCACAACTACTTCGGTCTCCTGCCCTCCCAGGTACCCCACGGGAAAGGGGTGTTGGGAGGGCAAGGCAAGAGGCCCAAGTGGTGTGCCCGGGCCGGCCATGGGAAGCGTGTGCTTCACTCTGCAGTATTCGCCTTTGAGATTTCCGAGAACGGGAGGGGAGGGAGGGTTCGCACCATGGGGAGTGTGTTGTGTGTACCGTGCCACGCTCTGCCAGGCCAGCAGCACTGCAGGTTGTGCTCAGCTCAGCTGCACAGGGGAGTGAGCTGAGCTCTACAACCTGTGACGCGATTGTTTTGACTGGACTTTTTTTTCAGATTTCCTCGGAACCTGAGAAACAGATCGTCTGTGAGTGAGAGTTGGTGTGCCTGCCTGCCTGGCCACGGGGGAGAGAGTGTGCTGCAGGTGCTGCTGGGAAGAGTCTGCAACCATCAGTTGAGCGCTGCAGGGAGCGGTGAAGCATGTGTTGAAGCATGTGGTGAAGCATGTGTTGAAGCATGTGGTGAAGCATGTGTTGAAGCATGTGGTGAAGCATGTGTTGAAGCATGTGGTGAAGCATGTGGTGAAGCATGTGGTGAAGCATGTGGTGAAGCATGTGGTGAAGCATGTGCTTGTCTGAAGCCCAGAGATTCGTTCACTCTGGCTCTCCACAACCCTCCGCTACAACTACTTATCCATTCACTCTCTTTCTCACTCCTCCACGGTCCATCTTCTTGGAACACATTCATTCAACCCCCAGCTCCTCGCCCTTTCTCCGATCACTGCCCCGCAGCCCCGCTACTTGTCCTCTGTTCTTTACATCTTCTCCTTCTTTCCTGCTTCCCTCCCTCCCTCCCCCTCCCTGTTGCTTCGTCCCTCCTCCCTCCTCCCTCGCCCTCGCTCCCCCGCACAGGTGCATTTCTTCCAGCAGGGCTCTGTGCCGTGCTTCACCATGGACGGCCGCATCATCCTTGAGACTCCCACCACGGTACCACTTGCTTGCTTGCTTGCACCCATGCCCTCGTTGCGTTGCCGCCCTGCCCACGTTGTTGCCTTGCCCTCCCCCACGCACACACACACATGCGCATGCACATGCACACGCACACGTGCACATGCACATGCACACGCACGCACGCACGCACGCACTCACGCACGCACGCACGCACGCACGCACACACACACACACACACACACACACACACACACACACACATCCACGTCTGCAGAACGGTGCCGCATCCCGCTCCTCGTTCCGATTCTCCCACCGCGTTCTCCTAATGCGACTGGGTGCCCCGTTTGCACATGTCTCCTGTGCAGCTCTCCCAAGCGCCTGATGGCAATGGTGGCGTGTATAACGGTGAGATGGGATGGGATGGGATGGGATGGGATGGGATGGGATGGGGTGGGGTGGGGTGGGGTGGGGTGGGGTGGGGTGGGGTGGGGTGGGGTGGGACGGGACGGGACGGGACGGGACGGGACGGGACGGGATGGGATGGGATGGGATGGGATGGGATGGCCTGGTGTGGGGTGCGATGGTGAAATTCTGGAAATGGAGGGGCAAGCTGAGATTGGATGTGTCGGATTTGACTGAAGGCATGCGAGAGGTGCCGGGGGTGAGAAATCAAGTCAAGCTTCTATCCCACATCCAGTGGGTCTGCTGGTGGATTGCATTCAGCCCATTGGTAGGATGCAATGGTCGGTGTGAGGGAGCAGCACGGGCACACACATTCAACCCTCACTGCTCTCAGCCGCCCTCCCCCCCCTGCTCTCACCCTCCCTTGCACCCAACCCTCCTGCATCGAACCCATCCCAACCGCTTCCTTGCGGAGGTGCCTGTGGTGGCATGGTATGCAGCGTTGCAGGGCAGTGGTCTCTCTGCTGGATCACATTCAAGCGCAGGACAGGACATCATGTCGATTTATCGCACCTGCACTCGCTCACCCACCCCCATGCGCTTGCACTCACCCCCCTGCGCTTGCACTCACCCCCCTGCACTTGCACTCACCCCCCTGCACTTGCACTCACCCCCCTGCACTTGCACTCACCCCCCTGCACTTGCACTCACCCCCCTGCACTTGCACTCACCCCCCTGCACTTGCACTCACCCCCCTGCACTTGCACTCACCCCCCTGCACTTGCACTCACCCCCCTGCACTTGCACTCACCCCCCTGCACTTGCACTCACCCCCCTGCACTTGCACTCGCCCCCCTGCACTTGCACTCACCCCCCTGCACTTGCACTCGCCCCCCTGCACTTGCACTCGCCCCCCTGCACTTGCACTCACCCCCCTGCACTTGCACTCACCCCCCTGCACTTGCACTCACCCCCCTGCACTTGCACTCACCCCCCTGCACTTGCACTCACCCCCCTGCACTTGCACTCGCCCCCCTGCACTTGCACTCGCCCCCCTGCACTTGCACTCGCCCCCCTGCGCTTGCACTCACCCCCCTGCGCTTGCACTCACCCCCCTGCACTTGCACTCACCCCCCTGCACTTGCACCCACCCCCCTGCACTTGCACTCACCCCCCTGCACTTGCACTCACCCCCCTGCGCTTGCACTCACCCCCCTGCACTTGCACTCACCCCCCTGCGCTTGCACTTGCCTCCCTGTGCTTGCACTCACCCCCTGCCGTGCAGCGCTGAAGGGCAGTGGTCTGCTGGACAGCATGCAGGCGCAGGGCGTCACACACGTGGAGTGCTTCTCAGTTGACAATGCCCTTGTCAGTCCCCCACTCACTCACTCACTCCGCCTCTCTCTTGGTCTGTTGGTCCGTCTGTCAGTCTATCAGTCACTCAGTCCGCAAGGTGCCACTGCCCGCGGCCCATGTCGCTGTACCTCTGATCGTCAACCTACCTCTCCGTATGAAATCCGTGTGCATTGAGGTCGTTTTTGAGGCGCCTAAAAAACGACCTTCATGTCGCTGTACCTCTGATCGTCAACCTACCACTCCTCCACTGCTCTTCCGTTCCGCCGACCCTAAGGATTTACCGGGTGACTGGTCGTCAGCCAATGCTGCGTGTATACTACCACGAGCATCCTTATCCTACCCTGTTCTCCATCCCCTTTCCGCACTCAGAAAACACTCAGATCCAGGTCTACGTGCTGCACGAGTCTTGAGAAGCTGCAAAAACACTCCCTCACCAGTCACCACCCTCCCTTCTCCACCTTGTCTCGCCCCCCCTCCCTGCCCCTGCGTTGCTCTCAGATCCGAGTGGCGGACCCTCTTTTCCTGGGCTACGTGCTGCACGAGTCTGCAGACTGCGCGGCTAAAGTGGTGCAGAAGGTAAGAGCGCGGGTGGAGGAGGAAGGGGCAGGTGGAGGGTCGGGGGAATGGGAGGGGACGGGAAAGGGGGGAATTAGATAGATTCGGAAGAGGAAGGGGTGAGAGAGAAAGAGGGAGAAGGCAGGGGGAAGAGGCGAATGGGGTGGGCAGTACCGTAGTAGGCATAATGGGAGACTGGGCGGATAGGGTGTGATGCAGGTGGGTATGTTAGGCTGCTGGTTTGCTTTGTGAGTGGGCAACCTCAACTGTGTAGTTTGGAATGACTTCTGAGTCTTACTTCTGAGTCTTACTTCTGATTCGACCAGGAAGTCTTACCGTTGGGTCGAGTGGAGGATATGGCCTGACCTCTGCTCTAAACCGTGCCAACCTCTCTCCGTCCCTCCTCCCCTTCTCTTCTCCCCAAACCCCTATCTCTCCCCCTCCGCAGGCCTACCCAGAGGAACGGGTGGGCGTGTTTGTGCGCACCAACCACGCACCACTGAAGCCCACACGGGCAAGCGAGCAGCGCTCTGTGACAGGGGAGAATGGGGAGGAGGGGGAGGGAGAGGAGGAGGAGCTGGTGACAGCAGTGATGGAGTATAGTGAGCTGCCTCAAGGGATGGGGACGTCTGTGGACGACGCAACAGGCAAACTTAAATACAACTGGAGCAATGTGAGTTGCGGGGAAAAGGGTGGAGCGGGGGGGAAGGCGGGGGAGGAAAGAGAGGGGGAAGAGGAGGGAAAGGGTGAACAAGCTGTATGAGTGTGCGTGTTTTCAGTTGAGAGGGGTTTATGGAGATTTTGCTGGGGTCGAGTGGGTGTGGGTGTTCGACTGGCAAACCCAAGTACAACTCGAATAGGTTGTGGTATCTCCCATGACAGCTGGTTGTACGAGTGTGTTTAAGTTGTGTGAGACCTCCTCGCACTTGCCTTGCCTCACCTTGTCCTACCCTGCCCTACCCTATCCTACCCTGCCCTGTCCCATCTTCGTCAGATCTGCATTCACATGTTCTCTGTGGAGTTCCTACAAGCAGCCGCACAAGCTCTCGACCACCACTGCATGTAAGCTAAGCTAAGCCCTCCTCCACTGGGGATCAATGGTTCCAAGCAACACTGCATGATCCTTGCATGGTTCAATGATTCGAGATGATGGAACATCGTCCCCTCATGCATGTTTCACTCACTTCAAATCTCCACGTCACACATCACACATCTCTGAGGGGACGATGCCTTCAGTGGACCGTCGTCACCTTGTTCTTCTCTCAGTCGCATCGAGATTCACCTCTCAAGAGACACTGCATGTATGGCTTTTGAAAGAGCGAGTGCTTTCTAATTCGCGCCCTTCTCGCACTCATCCTGCATCATTTCAACACACGAGCCCTCGAGTCCCTCTCCTCCCTTCCCTCCACGCCCCTTCCACCTCTCCCTGCCCATTTGCCCCATGTCCCCGCAACCCACTTCCTGCCCCCCTGCTCCGCCACCCCCCTGCCCGCCTCCTCCACTACCCCCCTACGTGCCAACCTTCCTGCCGTGCTGTTCCCCCAGCCATCATCTGGCTGTGAAGCGCATTCCGTCAGTGGACGGGGCAGTGCAGGGGGTGAAGCTGGAGCAGTTCATATTCGACGTCTTCCCCCTCGCCTCCACCCTCGCTCTCCTCGAGGTGCCTTCATCCCCCTTCTTTTTAGTCCCTTCTACCTGGGCTCCTTTCCCTGGCCTCCTCTCGCTTGTTGATCCGGTCTTCCCCATGTGACTGCTTCTGTGCATCTGTTTCGGCTGCAATTCTGAGCTTACCAGCGTAAGAGGGTAATCAGTCGCACTCTCCTACCCTGCTCTCTGCTGCTTGTTGGTGTAACTCCCTCTGACCCCCTCTCTTTCGCCACTCCTCTCTCTTTCTCCACTTCTGTTATCCTGCCGCCTCACCTTCCTTTCCAATTCTTGGATGCAATGTAACCCCCCGTTGTTTTCCCCACCCCGTTCTCCCCTCTCCCCTCTCTCCTCGCCTCTCCCCCCTCCTCTCTCCGCTCTCCCCTCTCCCCCCTCCCCTTTCCCCTTCTCCCCTCTCTCCTCACCGCACCCCACCCCTCAGGTTGCCCGGGAGGAGGAGTTTTCGCCAGTCAAGAACGCCCCTGGTGCTGCTGCCGACTCACCAGACACAGCCCGACAGCACGTGCTGTGCCTGCACGCGCGATGGGTCCGGGAGGCTGGCGGGCAGATCGTAAGGATGGGTGGATTTGATGGTGAAGGGGTTGAAGGGGGTGAGGAGGGGGATGAGGGAGGGGAACAGAGGGATGAGGGAGTGGAGGTGTCACCCCTTGTGTCGCATTCTGGGGAGGGTTTGGAGGGTGTGTGTAAGGGAGTGGTGTTTGAGGCACTGAGTGAGATTAGAGGATGAAGGCATGAGTCAGCATGGGAGAGGGGGGGTTGAAAAGGGATGTTAGAGAGAGAGAGAGAGATGATGAACAAAGAAATTATCACAATATATGATTCCACAAAGTTGCTCTGGTTTGTGCAAAATTAATCATTTTACTGCCCTAGATAGACTTATCAACTAAGACTGTTACCTGTCAAGTGCGTTCATTTACAGTGTATCGTGTTCTGTAGATTGGGTTAGCTGCAGCGCGTCCTCTCCTTTCAATCGCTAAGGGCGCGTGTGGTCTGTTTAGAAGTTCAAAATAAAGTTCGAGCTTTGGGTGGTTACCCTCATCGCTAATTTCGCGAAGGGTGCTTCGCGAACCAAGCATTGTATGGGCTCTGCAAAAGTTCGAGTTTGAAATATGAACTTGACTCGAATCGGAGGCGCGAACGTGCGTGCTCACGTTCATGCGAGCGTGTGTGATTTGCAGCACGTCCGAACAGCTGGCGAAACGGGCGAGCGCTTCGCCAGTGCATGAGGTTGCACAACGAAGACACCCCACAATTCGTGCACACAGTTGTAGCCACGTGTCCAGCATACAAGGTGTTGCCCTGGTTACACACTCGGGAAAGTACCGTATGGCCCCGGATAGAAGCGCAGGCCTATGTTAAGCGCATGCGCTTGTATCTGGAGCAATGCGCTTATGGCCGATCCTCAATTATAAGCGCACCCCTTTGGAATTCTTGACTTATTATAAGCGCACTCGTTTAGTTAAAAAAAAAAAAAAGAATTTCATTTTTTTTAACCTACCTAGCCTACATGTTCTAAACTTTCCATTAAGAATGACTATCACATACAAGGGTGGTCTCTGCTGGCCTGCACTACACCTTTCAACCTGCCTAGTCTACCCTACTGCCTTTTCTTCCTCCTCGTCCGACTCAGGCTCCGTGGAGTTGTTGCCCCAGAACCCATCTGCCTGGATGTCGTCGTCCACCTCCACCTCATGGGACAACTGGCACCTTCGGTGCGCTAGCACCAGTTTGTCTTCGCTCCCATCAAGGGCGTTGCTGATGCCGCAAGTGAGGAAGGCTTTCTTGATGAGGTCGGCGGGCACCGCCTTCCAGGCCCGTGAAATCCACTTGAGCACCACCTCCGGAGGTGGTTTCTTGATGTTCCCTGCATCACACGGAGTGGGGCGGGGAAAACATGAGACAAGTAAACATGCATTCAAGCTCAAGATTTGCAGACGGGAGCACATGCCGTCACTCACCTGCCGGGGTCAGGATGTTCATGCCGTCCTCCTCAAACCAATTTTGGTACTGCTGACGAATGCTTGCTTTGAAGCTTTTGTTGATCGACACATCGAGGGGCTGCAAGTCTGCCGTGCAACCCGCCGGAATGATAGCAGGCACGATGTTGAGCGCCGCGAATCTCGCCTTGACTTCTGGTGTCAGGTGACCGCGATACGAGTCGAGCACCAGCATGGCGCTACGACTCTGCAGGCCGAATTTCGGCTTCAGGAACGGCACCACGCCCGTGTTGAGCCACTCGATGACGCCTGCGGCCTCCATCCACCCGTTGGCTTGGCAGCCGACCACAACATCTGCACGCAACGAAAAAGAACAGTTAACGACTCAGGTAGTAACGGGAATAAACACGGTGGACGATCACTTACCGTTCGGGAAGTCACCCTTGGGGAGTGTCTTGCGCTTGAAAAACACCCACGGCTTCAGCTTCTCGCCCGTCGCCGTGCACGCAAGCATGACGGTCACTCTCTCCTTCTGGTACCCACCGCTGCGAATGGGCACCGACCTCACGCCCGTCTGCTCCACGGTGGTCGTCGCCGGCATCTCTAACCACAGCGGTGTCTGGTCGGCGTTGATGATGTAGCGGTTGTCAATGTCGTATTCGTGACGGGCGTCACGTACGTACTGCCAAAAATCATTGCACTGCTCAGCCACGTCTGCAGAACAGGGAGAAAGGTACATACAGTAAACCAAATTAGTATGACGCATAGGAGACATGCGAAAAAAACTAAGCGCAATCGGGTACCCACCAAAATCAGCAGTAAACGACCCACTTACGCTCCTGTGTTTTCTGTGCCACCTTTGTTTTCATGCGCACGCTGAGGTTCCACCGCCTGCGGAACCGCTCCGTCCACCGCTGACTGGCTTTCCACTTGACGTCCGGGTATAGAACCTTCATCACTTCTTTGGACCACTCTTGCAGCCGGCCGACCGAAACCGCAACTCCGCGGCGTCGCCAGTCGAGGAGTTGCGCGTACACCTTTAACTCCATGGGGCGGTACCAAGACGACCTCCCGCGCCCGTGAAGTCGCATCCGTGCTCCGTGTGCAGCCTTGAGCGCATCCGCTTGGGCTTTCCATTCTGTCAGACATTTTCGGTGAATGCCTGACTCCCGCGCCACTTCGCTCACCGAAGCCGCAAGCTCGAGCCGCACGAGCCACCTCAACTTCTCCTGGGCGGTGTAGGACTGCCGCTTATGTTGATTCAGCTTGTGCCTGGGGGAGGGGGGGCGGGCATCTCGATTCTCGGTAGACGGGTGGGGGCGTTTTTTATTAAGGGGCGGATATGTCGGTACCGGCATCTTCGCGCGTGGTGCGTCGCGCCACCAGGACTCCACACCGTCCTCGTCCTCGTCACGGTCGGGGAACACGTCTTCCTCGTCGCCCGCTGCACCGTCGCCACCAGCTTCACCGTCGCCTCCAGCTTCGCCGGCGCCGCTGTCATGTTTATCGGTAGCCACATCATCGTCGGCGCCCACAGCCGACTCATCCCACGCGCAGGATTCTGGTTGTCCCCACCGTGGTGCAGTCGCTGGAGCTTGGATGCGTGCATCGCGGGCCTTCGGTGTGTCCGCTTCAGCCAACCATTCGTCGAACGTGGCTGGTAAATACAGTTGGAGCACGGGCCGTTGGTGAGCACCTGCCGTGGCAAAAGCAGGCGGATTCGGAGGAGCGGGAGGTGCGGGAGGAGCGGGTGGAGCAGGGGGTGCAGGGGGAGCAGGAGGAGCAGGGGGTGCAGGGGGATCCGGTGGCACTGGAGGCGCTGGTGGCTCACGGGTATACCACCCGTCTTCGGTAAGTCGCCATGTGCGGCGTGGCTTTTTCTTGAAGAGGATGCTCGTCCCACTAAATTCCGCCATGGCTTCGCCTGCCAGGCGGGGTTGACAAGGAACTGAATGAAAAAATCAGAGAAGAGGGTGAAGAAATGGGCAACGACGGTGACCCCTGCTGTGTGACGGCTCGGGTTCCTCGTCGATGACAGGCAGGAAACCCCCGCCCACTCCCGTAGAGGCGCCTGCGTGGCAGCATCTACGCTGCGCTGGCAGAGAATCTTGCCGAACCTTCGAGATGGTTCTGCCCGAATGCACATGCCTCGCAGCGCATGCGGCTCTGATTGGGCCGCACGACAACATCATCGTCACGGCTGTCACATTCTATGTTTCCAGACAACATTGTGCGGTGGTAAACCGAACCGCTGCGGTTTCTGCCTGAAAACCATGCACGATCCCACTTGGTGCATGGTCGGTTGAATTCGCCTTATTGAGAGCTTCACAATGGTGTGTTCAAAATTGATTTTCATTTTTCCCTTTATACAAGCGCATGCGCTTATAAATCTGACTCAATTATAAGCGCACCCCCCCAAAAAACAATGTTTTATTATAAGCGCAGGTGCGCTTCTATCCGGGGTATTACGGTATATCCTGTCAAACATTATATGTTGTTGTAGTTGTTTAGGCTACAGTGGGTTAGCCTATAGGGGGTACACATTCCTAGGTTTTCATACTTGTACTCATTTCACTCTTAGTTCATTCATTCTTGTTCAACATGGTATAGAGCAGGTCCTTCCTAGGACCGATTTTTTTTAGGGCCCACCACTACCTACCTACCTACCTGCGACCTAGGGCGCCTCGGCTTTCACGCCCCTAGAGGCCCCGTCGGCCCCGCGCTCTCGCACCTAGAGGCCTCGGTCGGCCCCGCGCTCGCTTTTAGAGGCCCCGAATCGGCCCCGCGCTTACCCCTAGAGGCCCGCGTCGGCCCCGCGCTCGTCCTTACCGGCCCCGATCGGCCCCGCGCTCGTCCCTCACGGCCCCGATAGGCCCCACGCTCGCCCTTAGAGGCCCACGTCGGCCCCGCGCTCGTCCCTTACGGCCCCGATCGGCCCCGCGCTCGTCCCTCACGGCCCCGATAGGCCCCGCGCTCGCCCTTAGCACCCACGTCGGCCCCGCGCTCGTCCCTCACGGCCCCACCCGCTCCCCGCGCTCGCCCTTAGCGGCCCCGAACGGCCCCACCCAGACCGAGCAGCCCGAACCGAGCCGACCCGAGCCGCTAGCCCTAACCGATCCGAGCCGGCCGAACCGAGCCGCGCCGCCCGAACCGAGCCGCCCGAACCGAGCCGCGCCGCCCGACCCGAGCCGCCCGAACCGAGCCGCGCCGCCCGACCCGAGCCGCGCCGCCCTACCTATACCGAGCCGCGCCGCCCTACCTGTACCGAGCCGCGCCGCCCTACCTACCCTACTGCTCCTACTGCTTTTCCTACTGCTGCTACCATGGCTAGCCCTCCTGTCCTAGCCTTCGATACTGAGGGCCGCCCAGTGAAGTTCGACACCTGGCTTGATGACCTACACCTCTTCCTACAGCTTACTGCCAAGGAAGACATCTCGCTGTACGATCATGCCTTAGGCCACGCTACTGCTCCTGCTGCTACTGCTGAGAGCACTGCCCGCTCACAGTGGCAGACTCGTGACGCCCATACTCGCTTCGCTATTCGCAACTCTCTGCCGATAGATGAGCGCGAGCACTTTGGGCAGCACAAGACTGCACAGGCACTGTACACTGCTGTCGTTGCCCGCTACTCCTCGCCGGCCTCTGCCGCTCTAGGCCGTCTCTCTCTTCCCTACCTGTTCCCCGACCTAGCTTCCTTCCACACTGTTGCTGATCTCATTACCCACCTCCGCACTAGTGAGGCTCGCTTCCGCGCCGCTATGCCTGATGAGTTCCTTGCCAAGAACCCACC